CAGGACGTGAGGACAGCAGGACATGAGGACAGCAGGACATGAGGACAGCAGGACATGAGGACAGAGAGCAGGACATGAGGACAGCAGGACGTGAGGACAGCAGGACGTGAGGACAGCAGGACGTGAGGACAGCAGGACATGAGGACAGCAGGACATGAGGACAGCAGGACATGAGGACAGAGAACAGGACATGAGGACAGCAGGACGTGAGGACAGCAGGACGTGAGGACAGCAGGACGTGAGGACAGCAGGACATGAGGACAGCAGGACATGAGGACAGCAGGACGTGAGGACAGAGAACAGGACGTGAGGACAGCAGGACGTGAGGACAGCAGGACGTGAGGACAGAGAACAGGACATGAGGACAGCAGGACATGAGGACAGCAGGACGTGAGGACAGCAGGACGTGAGGACAGCAGGACGTGAGGACAGCAGGACATGAGGACAGAGAACAGGACGTGAGGACAGCAGGACACTCAGTGTCCAGGAGTCAGTGAGTGTCCTGTCTGTCCTCAGTGAAGACAGGACATTTTGCTAACAGGACACGTCTCTCACCCCATCCTCCCGTAGGCCTTGCTGTAGTTCTGGTCGATGCTGATGGCCCGCTCACAGTCCTGCACAGCGCCGGCGTAGTTCCCCAGTTTACTGTAGGCCGCCGCCCTGTAACCATGGTAACAGAGACGTCAGGTGACTCACCTGGACTCAGCTGACCTGTAAGAAGGTTTGAACTCTGGTCCAATTCAAGTCCTGTTGAAGGGTTCTGACTTGTTTCTGGACATGACTGTACTTCCTGTTCCCTCAGACCCCCCGAGCCCCACCCCCCGAGCCCCACCTGTTGCAGTAGTAGACGGCGTTCTGGGGGTTCAGGGCGATGGCCTTGGAGTAAAACTCAACAGCTGCAGCAAAGTTCTCCACCTTCATCTGATCGTTACCTGCAGGAGGAACCAAAACCAGTTTCAGGACCAGGACCAGGACCAGACCCACAAACTCTGCTCACTGAACTGCTCCTGTGTGGGGGTGGACTCACCGTCACTTTTCAACCGCTCAGCCTCGGCTTTCAGCTCGTCTGTGGGAGAACTGGCTCCAGAGTCTGGGCTGGGCTGTGACGGGGCTGGGAACTGTTCCACAGAAGAACCGGGTCAGACCAGAACCACAAAGACAGGCAGAAACAGGACACCATTGTTTTATATTCATTCTGTTATCGCTGAGTCAGCATGTTGTTTTCCTGCTTTAGATAGCCTTACTTTAGCTTCTAGCTAGCCTTACCTTAGCCAGTAGCTAGCCTTACCTTAGCCAGTAGCTAGCCTTACTTTAGCCAGTAGCTAGCCTTACTTTAGCCTGTAGCTAGCCTTACTTTAGCCTGTAGCTAGCCTTACTTTAGCCTGTAGCTAGCCTTACTTTAGCCTGTAGCTAGCCTTACTTTAACCTGTAGCTAGCCTTACTTTAGCTTCTAGCTAACCTTACTTGATGGTAGCTCATTGATACTTTTAGCCTGTAGCTAGCCTTTGATATAAACCAAAGAAGAAACAAATGTTTCACAAACATATTTGTTGTTTGGATGAATATGGATGTTCTTGTTGCCTCAGTGGATTAAACATCTCCTTATATAATCTTTTTTAATCTTATATTATAATCTTATGTCAGATCTGGCCAGGTCATGTTTGTAAGTGAGAAGTGGTTCTCAAACAGTTTACCTGGATAAATACAGGTTAAATAAACAAATAAATAAATAAATAAATAAAGTTGTCAGGGGTGGGAGCACACCATCGTACCTTGGCGGTGGCAGCAGCGAACATCTCCGGTAACGTCACGGGGACGGCGAGACTCTGGTCATCGGTGGAAACTTCAAAGGCCGTCTCCAAACACTGGGCAGCAACTGAAGAAACAGCAGGTCTTCAAACACCTTCAGTCAAAGCTTCAGAAGCTGTGGGGTTCTTCGGCTCATGTTTCAGCTCAGTGAGCTGTTCGTGGACAGAACCACTGAGGACTCACCTTCCAGGCTTTCCTGGGCGTCTGGGGTCAGAGAGCCCGACTGCAGCTGACCGTGGAGGAACTGGATGATGGAGAAGGCCAGACGCTTGGTGTCGCTCATGGTGATGGAGCTTTGGACCTCGCTGAGGGACACGCCTGGAGGAGAACCATGAACCAGCTGATGAAAGAGTCCAGGTCCAGACTAAAGAAGACCTCAGGTCAGAGGTCTTCATGATCTCTGCTCTGGTTTTACATTTTTCAGCTTTAATGTTTGTTTTAATTAAAACATGTCTGATTAGTAACGATCAAAACCTGAGACTCGTTTTCTGATTCTTCTGTTTCCATCTGAACTTGTTATTCACTCAGTAAAATCCCACAGAAACAAAGTGGCTGCTGGCAGCAGAAAACACCAGGAACTTAAACCCACTAACGCGTCATCATCACACCGACAGAAGGTTCTGGTAGCCCGGATCCGGGTCACGGATCATCAGAATATTCCTACAGCTACACTTAAAACCGTGAGAAACAAGAACTGAATGACTCAAACAGAACCGAGCTCATTCAGAACCACAATAATCTGTTGTTCTGACAAACAATCAGGAAACTAAAGGGAAAAGCCGCAGGCACCAGCTTTAAATACATAAATATTATAAAGTTAATGTTTATTAAACTGAAGCCGAATTCAAACTAAAGCGTTCAAAATTAAATAAACCTGTTAAATTTGTCTCCAGTTCAAGCGCGGATCAGTTCCGAGGAGGTTTTGTCTTATTTTGTACATTTAGCTCAGAGGAGTTTGGCGTGTTTACCACACGGCACCAGCGCTGAGAGCTAGCCGTGGGTTTAGCAGAACTTTGGTTCTGTTCTGAAAACAAACCCGGCCCGGTTCCGTGTCGGAGCCTGGAACGCGGCAGGTCTCTGCTCCTACCTGAAGTCTCCGTGGTTCAGGTGAGAGGCCGGCAGGTAAAGCCCCGGAGAGCTGACGTTAGCTGCTCTGTAGCTCCGCTGCTAATACCTCAGTGGGCGCGGGGTGATGACGTCATAAGAGCGCGCAGCGGTGACGTTTGAACGTTTTTTTTTTTTTTTGTAAACGTTTAGGTCATAATTCTGAAATAAACATGAATATTTTACGTTTAATGGATTCATCGTCATTTTTAGTTTGTTTAAAAACGATTTTATTTGTTGTGTAATTGATTTTGTGTGATTATTGTGTGTTGAACCACAATAGAAATAAGCTTTATTATGTTAATGAATTAAAACTTTTAGACTCTTTGAAGCTTCACATTTTATTGTTGTTTGTTTTCTTACATCAGTCAGATTTAAACACCAGAACCAGAACCGTCTGGGTTCATGTCAGAACATTAAACTCTTTCATTCGTTTGTTGTTCCAATAAAAAACGCTGAGTCAGCGTTCACTTTGATCCTGTTTCCTGTTCTGAGTTCAGGAAGTCCTGAGAAACCGTCTCAGCAGGATCCAGGTCCTGATCCGGCTCGTCGAGGTCCTGATCCGAGCCTGAACGGTTCTGGGTTTTATCCAGACCTGAACGGTCCTGGGTCTGATCCAGGACCAGCAGAGGGTCCGGGCCGGGCCCCTCCTTGTGGCTCCTGGCCCCCCTGCGGTTGCGGAGCCCCAGGCGCAGCAGGCTGCGGTGGACCGTGTGCTCCGACACCTTCCTGTCAGAACCGGCGTTCACCTCCTGGGCGATCTGGGCCACGGTGGCCCTCCTGTTGGACTGGACGAGGCGGGCCAGGCGTCGCTCCCCGCGCTGGTCGATGAGCCTGGGCCTGCCGTGGCCCTGGCGCTGGTTGACCGGGCGGCCCAGCCTGGACCACCTCTGGAAGGTGCTGACCACAGCGGASCGCGAGCAGCCCACCTCTGAGGCCGTCCTGGAGATGCTGCGGCCCAGGCGCCGCGCCATCACGATCTGACCCTTCTCAAAGTCACTCAGGTCCTTCCCCTTCCCCATCCTCAGCTGCCCACAGGCCCCGCCCACCCCTCAGCTGCCCCACAGGCCCCGCCCACCGCTCAGCTGCCCCACAGGCCCCGCC